CGTTGCACAATGGGGTATTTAAAAATAAGGATACAGCTGTTTTTGTTCTTATTACAAATGTGGATTATTAATTTAAACAGAAATATGCGTTGAAGAAAACTGTAATAATATATGACCAACAATAGCCATTTATTTATTTGGAATGTGCTTTACTTTAGAATTCACAGGAAACCAGACGTGAATTTAATTTATTTGACGGTATTTAACATTCTGTCAAATTTTGGATTGAAATAACAAAAAGTGAACGAATACTTAAAAGACATAGTTTATATCATGAGATTAAAATTATTTTATTTCTTAGATCGCGTTCTATTAAATTATGTACATTGTATTTGTTTTTTTAATTTTCATATATTTAACGGGTGTCTTTTAACATACACAGTATTAAGTTCTTAATTAGTATTTAGTTCTCGCATTAACGCAGAATTAAATCGTTCACGTATCTCTACTTACTTTCCCTCTAACACAGTCTCCGCAAGCTCCATTCCATCTTCTTAAAGCGTTTCAATTCACCTACAAAATACTTCCCTCTGTTACACGTATCCCAGCATCAATCAGAAGCAACCAACTCCTCAGAGTCTGCTCAAAGTTGTTTCACATAGCATCTCCCATCCTTTACCCCTGGACAACAATGAACCGAAGTCCAACAACGAGTTCGAACGCAGCAGCAACGCGGGAATATATCCTTGACCAGATCTACTCACCTGTCACCTCCCTCCCCCCGAACGCAATCACTAAGAAGAAAGAGAGAGGATCACGACGGAGTAGCCGCGACCCTTTCCATTTGCAAATTAAACGGCCACGTCCTTGATTTCAATCCGTGAAACCCAATTTCAGTTTTTCCATTGTACCCAGGCTTAAGCCCGGCAACTAGGCGTTTAATCTTAATCGATCTCTCCGAAGGCAGATATATATCCTCGTCCTTTTCTGCCTCAACCAGGCCGGTCTCGATTTTCCACCTTTACCCTCTACCATCTTGGCTTCCTTTCAGGACAGGACCGTCTCATTCCGCTTCCTTTTCCCGACACCTACCTTCTCCATCTTCTTTCTTCTCTCTTTCTATTTTCCTTCTCCACTCCCTTTCTCGATCTTCTCTCTTGATCTTTCTCCTCTCTCTCCTGTTCTCCTTGTAACCACCGATTTCATGTCCTCTTCGTCCTCCTCCTCCTCCTCACCGGAAGTCACTCTGACTCGCGTTGGTCTCCTTAGAGCTGGCCGTCGTTCCCTTTTGCCGTCTTATCTTAATGGTTCGCCCCGGCAATCGAAAGTTTAGTTATTATCGCGGCCGTTGTCGCTCCGGTTCCGCGGATCCCATGAAAATATGGCAGCACAGATAGGGTGGAGGAAATTGCCGGTACGACGCGTATACTCGATTCCGCGGCACAGCGATCCACGAGGTGTGAGATTCGCCCCGAGAACGATCCGCAGCCGCGTTGAAAAGGAAAGTTGTATTGCCGCCGTACCAGATAATAGAGTTCCCCGCTTCCGTGAATTTTATCGCGAGCGAACCGTTGCGGTGCTGGTTACGTTTCACTGGGTCAGGGACGGGCGACCTAGTGGGGCGACTTTTTGCCGGGATTTCGCGGATTCGGTGGTTTAGAGATAGAGCTTTTGAGTAGAGGTAATGCGTGGCTATAGCTGTTGGTACGTGGATGGATGCTGTTAGGTGGGATTAAATGAAATCTCGGGATTAGCGAATGATTTGTATAGAAGCATAGATTTGTGCTCGTAGCTTATAGAAAGTGAATTAAAGTTCCATAAAATTTATCGATTTACAGAACTTGTGAAATGTGAAATCTTTCATATTATATTTCAAAACTTATTTTACACATTTTCCTGAAATATTTTCAAAGCTATGCAGATAACGTGTATTTGCATAAATACGACAAGCGACCAAAGGAATATAAACTGTATTGTAGAAATTCACATATGTACTCATTTTCTTTTTGTCCCAAATATTCCACCGGTAAAAAGTCAGCTCGCTCTAGAAGAGAATTACAACCGCGTGTGCATCCCTTTATACTAAAGTATCTTTTACTCGAAAAACATTCCTCCTCGCGTCTGTACAAACAGCTCGGATACTGAACTGAAACATACTCCAGCCAGAATGCGTCCGACATACTCTCAACAGCACAATTACCGGAATACGTCAGTAAAATTCGAGCGTGTACTTTAGAAACCTCTCCACGCAACAAGATTCGGGAAATTTAAAGTTCACCGAGCGATTCAATGATTCAGAACTGCAACGCTGAGAGAGGAGCAGAGTGCTCGACGCGGCGCATCCCTCTGTCTCCTTTCACGCGAATCCGTAATGCAACCTCGGCCGGGCATTACGTTAAAACATTCAGCCCCCGAACGCAACTCTCTCCGTTTGGTCCCTGTCGCCTACTCTAACGTTAACGCAGATTCTCCGGCGAAACTTGAAGTAATAACCAAGCACGTTCGGGCCAGATCGTAATTTCCACGCGCAGTTTTACCACGGCACGCTCCATTTCGCGCTTAATGCGCTAATTTCGCTACATCCGAATGCACGTTCGTACGTTTCAGCTGCACGTGTAAGCACACGTTCGCTTTATCCGGCATAGCTTCGCCGTTACATCTGTTTGCCCGGAACTTAACGCAGAGTAACCTTAGTTACGTCTGAGAGCGCCTGCACGTGTGTGTGAGAGAACGCGGGCAGGACAGAGTGGACTGTAAATTGTCGTGGAACGGTGGAGATATATGTATTGCGACGATAGGTTTCGTCGTCGATAGGAGTGTTTAATTATTTAACACACAGTCTCGATTGGTATTTATTTACACTGGCTTTGTGTGGGATCAGGAACTCTGTATGTCCAAAAACCACAGTGTAGAGAAAATCACAGCGTAGAGAACCACAGTATAGAGAAGATCCCAGCGTAGACACCACAGTGTAGAAAAAAGTACAGCGTACAAACTCAGAGTGTAGAGAAAAGCGCAGCGTTGAAACCACAATGTAGACAAGAAATCACAGCGTAGAAACCGCAGTGTACAGAAAATCCCAGCGTAGAAACCACAGTATAGAGAAAATCATAGTGTTAAAAACCACAGTGTAGAGAAAATTGTAGCGTAGAAATTCAGAGTGTAGAGAAAATTGTAGCGTAGAAATTCAGAGTGTAGAGAAAGTCACAGCGTAGAAACTCAATGTGTAGAAAAAAAAATCACAGCGTAGAAACCACAATCTAGAGAGAATCACAGCGTAAAAACCACAGTGTAGAGATAATTACAACGTATAAACCACGGTGTAGAGAAAATTACAGCGTAGAAACTCAGAGTGTAGAAAAGAAATTACAGCGTAGAAATCACAGTGTGAAAAGAATCACAGTGTTGGAGACCACCACAGTCGAAGGGGTCACACCTAGTTGTCTAGAAAACCCAGTGAAGAGATTGCACGTCTCCCAGAAGAGTTGGAAGGGACAGAATTTTCAACTGAGTACCACTAAATAGCTGTATAGCACGCTTTAGAGTAGCCTTCTATGAATTCACTAGATTTCAATAGGTGTACTTCACATTCAATATGTGTCCTAATACTTCTGAACGAAACTTCTATACGTTAACTCCAATTTTCGTCCACAGCCTTTCGATCGAGTACAATGTTAAAGTCTCCAAACACGTAAGCTTCGTACAATTCGAACTTATCCAGCTTATTCTAAAACGAGGAAGCCCCTTATACGAGTCGCGCGCGTTGTTAAGTACGCTAGGCGGTCCACGTACAAATCATGAGCAACCAAGTAAACGGTCTCTCCAAACAACGCGGTGACGAAATGTTCCCAGAGTTACCGTGGCGAATAGATGCTTGGCAACATCAACTCATTAAGAACAACTCATTAACGTGAAAAGGTAGACTAGAAGTGTCCGTCACTGGCAAATGCTTTCTTGTCTATCAAGCTAGCAGAAAGCCGAGGAATCTGGAGAACGACTGTCTCGAAACAAATTCGATTCTACACCGTCCGTAAGTCGACGTGGAGATTTCCAGAGGATTTCGAAGATTTCGAATTACATCGGAACTCGTCGAAAGGATTTTCGTGTGGCGCGAAGTATGTCGAGCGATGGGGAGTGAGAATCACACCGCGATCCTGATCATCACTTACAAAATATTTCTGCTTCTACCACTCTACTGATTTCTCAAACTTGAAATTCTATAGACACATCCTACATATATATCATACAAACAGTACAAGGTTTGCTGGAATTATAAAAATATCCCTTATAGTTTTTTTTTTTTTTCGTAGTAACTGATCTGTATTGCTGACACATTTTTACTTCAATTTTTATGTACGATATATGTTGTTTTACAGTGAATTGTTTTTCCTTAATATCTTCACTACGTTGAATTTTAAACGATTTTCGTTGATTTATTCAGTTACCCTTCGTTCGCTTTTATTTCTTCTTTTTTACAGTCTGGGATTGATAGATACGTCGGCGAAGAGAACAACAGGATTTTAAACGAGCTAAACTTTTAACCCTCCTAAAACCAACGGCTCCATAAATCTAGATGGTCAAGTATTTCGCGATGAATAAAATATTGGCTGCATGAGAAAGTGGTGAGACTGATGAATTGAAAAACGAGCTTCTATCGCATCTGTTGGAAAAACCACTCGATAGACAGATCTGTCGTTTGAAAATCATTCTTCTATTGAAAATCATTGCTCAATTTAATCGTTAATAACTACAAAATAACCTGCAAAAGTTTGACAATGTTAAGAAGATAACTTTGAATCGTGAGAAATATCGTCGTTCCTGAATTTGCAGTTTTTCAAAGACAATTGACGTACCGTCGCAAGTAAAGGAGGCTACGAGAGACAAAATTGCTAAATAATCGGTAAAAATTACAGGTTATTCGTATCTGAAATGGGAAATAATACAACAGAAGGTATCGTCGACGAATAGCAGAATGAGGGGTAGGCGATACGAGCCGCAGCCCTTGGGCAAACGATTTGGAAAGCATGATCTCGATAGACTTGGTAATATCTACATCCAGAATGGACAGAAAGTTCCTCGTTTCATCCTACCACTTCTGTCTTATTTTCCAAGGGTATTTTCATGATCCATCCCCGGCGCCTTTCGACAAGTATTTGGAAGTTCCAGTAAAATTTCGCGAAGGTATCGAGAAAGGACCTCAAATGCTTTCGGGACCACCGGTTCGTTTATTCGAGAAAAAATTTGAGAGAATTTTCACCGGAGAGGCGCTGTACGAATCGTGGAGTATCGAAGCACAAGAACGGGTGATTATAAAGCCTAATTAGATCGAATTAATTGATCACTGATAGAGTGGTTTTGTTAATATCTACTTTGTTAACCCTTTGCAATCGAGTGGCGACTGAGAAGCGACGTTAAATAATTGTCACTTGGTAAATAATTAATCAAAAGAAAGAGCAGATCTGTGGACCACCATAAATTTGTTCACAATAGTAACATAGAAAATACATTGAATATTGAAACAAAATAGTATAGTTTATTTCTACGTTAGTTTACAACAATTTCAAAGAAGATCCGATCTGTAATCTTTCTTATAGCTAAAAGACCTCCGAGTGCAAAGGGTTAATACATTTCAATATTTCAAAAGGATAATTATTACAATTAGTTGATATGGATGCATTTGAAATTAAATTTCGTGGAAGATGAAAGAGGATTTCGTTCAATTTGTCCTAAATGAAATAGGTTGTCCCAGGTTGTTTCCAGAATCAGTACCAAAAGAAACTTGTGCACAATTATTTATTCATATATATGCATTAAATGAAATTGAGGAAATTTTATGAAACAACGTAAATTCAAACTGAATGTTAATATTACATGTAAATTAATGTTCAATGATTAATCTTCGTTAAATTCATCAGAATCGAAAAATCAACCAAAAATTTGCGATAGCTCGTCGAAGCAATTTATTGAAATCTCGAAAATTCCAAATTAAAGAAAATCATTTTTACAGTTTATAGTTTCCATGCTAAAGGAGCCATCCTGATACATCGACAATTTCGTAGTTGCAACGCGAACGAGGGAAACTCGGTGGTCGTATGCTGCCATCTTCTCCTGCAAAGAAACACTCGACACCAGGTGATTGGCATGGATGTTTCGAAAAAATTGCTTACTTCAGTCCTGCACTGAAAGATCGTAGAAGAAGACGCCTGGCACCTGAGCCTCCCAATCCAAAGATCAAGCCTAATCCTCGTGGAGGACCAGGATACACTGACATTTGTTTCAATCCTTTTCCGTCGTATTCACACGAACCTTATGATCTTCAAAGAGAAAAAGGTAATAGTGTGGATTATTTTTTAACAAATTCCTCTTTCGTTTCTTCTAGAGAACAGATCAATGTTTCTATTATTGTCGATGATCTTTTGCCATTTTGCTGGCAGCTTGCAAATTCCATCGCAACCGAAACTCTCTGGATTTGAATAAATTGAAAGAATTTATTTCTACACGTATGTTAAAAAAAAATACTTTTCGTCTTTTATGAAATACTTTTTTACGAAAATATTCCCTGCCAAATCGGGAACAGTGTTTTATTTTATTTTATTATTTTGACATACTACAATATCAATTTGACCCTCGTCCCTTGACAGACTCTTTTCTGCGAGTTGAAAAAAGGACCAGCTTAATAATTTCATGCACGACGACATTGATATTACGCGACATTCTTTAAGGTCGTTCTTAACAGAGCTAAGAATAAGAAATACGGTTCTGGTTAAAACGTTTCAAAAACTCCCGAGAAATACGAAACATTGCGCTAGAACAATTTGTGTGAAGATCGCACAAAGAACTTCTTTTATATGCGGTAAGAAAGAATTTTATTGTTAGAAGCGGGTCATGCAAGACTGTGTTTTGCACGAGATCATTGAATTATTTCTTTTCATTTAAAAGCCACCGGCGTAAAAATATCGCGGCGAAGAAAGAACTCGTTTAATAACTGAAATGAAATTAAGGAATGAAAGAAAATGAAAGGAACTGGCCAAATATTTACCGTTTCATTTGATAAAATGAACGTTAAGAATCGTAAGGTTATCCTTTGCAAAGGAAACGTCAAAAGTTTCTTATGTATAACTTCCACAATTAGCAAGTGGCAAATATTGAGGAATACATTTAACGAATCGAAGTTGTAAATTTAGTAAAAATTCGTCATGCACGAGTGTATCTACAAGATCTAACCGTAAAATTCTTTTTTTATCATTATTTTCATATACATATAACTTTTACGATAAATAAGTGATAAATTCTAAATAATGCATTCAACGAATGAAAATTAAGGGGAAAATTTGTCGTGCACAAGTGTATTCACAAGATCTAACCGTAAAATTCCTTTTTATTGTAAAACTTAACGCTGCCATGTAGCAAAAAAAAAAAAAGTACGCGCACGTATATTGCAGCGTCAGCTAGGTTCTAATTTTTGTATTTGCCGTGCCAGTCAGCGTCTTATTTCTCATTTTTTGTTCATTACCCTTTTCTGGAAACGGTGGAGATGCGACAGACAATATTGCCGTGCAAGAAAGTAATATAAAGAGGACTCGTAACGCGGAAGAAGATTGGGGAGACTCTCGCTTTCCCCCGTTTCCGCTTTCTTTTTTCGGGTAGAATTTTGTTTCCCAAGGCAGCCCAACTAATTACATTTTTGTCGTAAGGAAGGCAGGAAAATGAAACCTCGCCGCGCCACGCTTAGACGCGTTTTTCCCTCTTTCTCTCCCTCTTTTTTTCTCTCCGTGTTCTAGACGAGCTTTCAAAGTCCCGCCGAGACTGATTTAAGGGGAAACGGAGGCGGATTCTAAAAAGTCAGAGTTAACTATACCCGGCTGCTTTCATTGGCTTAGCTATTACTAGGCAAGCACGTTAATTAGCTACGGCTAGTTTTGTAGCGTGTCGCGGCGAGTAAAGATGCTTCCACAATCAGGCTTCCTCGGGTCTACCCTTTTAAGGCTTCTATTTGGAAAATCTTGGAATCTAGGGGCCAGAGAAAGAAGGAATATGGTAGCTCCTGGTAATGTAAGGAATATGAAAGTGTTATAGAAAATATTAATGAAAAGGTATCATATTTTTAATTTGAAATACTCCGGTTCTGTCTGAAAATTTAAAGAGCGTAATAATAAAAAGAAGAGTACAAAACGCAACATTTTCTTTACGTAGAATGTTGTTATTCAAATAGTGGTTGAAAGTTAACCCTTTCGTATCCGAATACATTTTTTAAAGAATTTTTTATTTATCTACCGGTCATCGCGTCTGTAATGGATACTAAATTGAGATAAATGTTTAGAACGCCCTTAAATGAAAGGGTTAATATTGAAAGTAAGAAAACATATCTTTTCCTTGGATAAATTCAGCTAACCGTACGTAAAGCTCTTCAAATAATTGCATATCCCAAACAGTTGCAAGTTACACATATACAGGGTGGGGTAAAGCAAAAGCATCCTCCACCTGAAATATTTTCGTTATTTGTAATAATATTGAAAACTGTTATATACAAAAATTGCATGATATGTAATAGAACATTGTGCGATGTAAATACTTTTACAGTATAATTGTCGAAAAGATTTCAATATCATCTCCGTTATATTTTTTTTATATATGTGATAAAAAATGGTGATCAGCATATTCCAAGTAGACAATATTTTCTCCTCGTCCTGTATAAATAAAGATATAAATAAAGGAACATATTTTGTATACGTAGAATATATCTCGAAAATTAACCCCTCATTCGAACAATTCCTTTTCTGTATATAACAGTGCGAGCTGAGGCTCGATTCTTGACTGCCAGCGCGCCACTCGATCGTTTCCCGCCAAATCCGTACAAAGACAAGGAGCCAGGTCCAACTTACATACGACCAACTGAGGACGCGCCTAAGATAATAGGCTCCGGTCGATTTTACGTCCCATTCCCTAAGAGATCCGGAGGAAATCACTCTGGCTGCTTCGACAAATTCCCAAAGTATTCTAGCGAACCGTACGACCCGGAGAAGGATCCTAAGGAGGTGGCTGGTGTGTTTGTCATTGGCGGTCCACCCCTGCGATCCAAGTACACCAATAGTATTGTAGATCAAGTGACCAAGACATCCTGTAACGCGACGAATTATATGGGCTACAGGGAACAAGTTTATCCTCTGGACAAATAGAGACTGTTACGTTTTGTGATTTATCACATCTGGGAGATTTCATTGGGAAAAATTATACCACGCGAATTTACTAATATCTTTTAAGAATTTTAGAAACAAATTTTAGTTCTATGGTGAATTTTATTGTATAATGTATTATATTATTCGAGAATTGCATTGTAATTAGCTGACGTGTCGTGAATTTTTATTAGCACCTAACCTGTCCGAATTTACATCGTAGATTGTGTAATTTTCGAGCAAAGAAGAAAGTGAAGCAACAGTGTTGTATTTCTTGTCTCTATTACTTATCCTTTTGCTTATGTATTGTTCTTTCACTCTTGCCAACTTTCCGCTTGTTTACTACTTTTCTTTGCTTAACAAATTTTCTTTGCCGCACACCTGGTAAGTACTAATTTTCTGTACTTCTTCGAGAGATTTTGATTCCCTTAATCGCATTCCACTTCCGCAGTGCATACTTATCTTTTAGAAAGCCTTTTAGCAAGCCTGGTACATCCTTTCCTCCTTTCTCTACGGTAATTACGCTTATATTTCACAGCTAAAGTATATCGACTCCCTGATTAATTACCAAATCCCGTAATATGAACATTTTCGTTCACACAGCCGACCACTTCACGCCTGTTTCCCTAACCCGCGGCCATTAAACCGAGTCAGCCATGGAAGGAAAGAATTACAGCGCGACCATAAGAAACAACGTTCTTTTTTCCATTCGTTCGTTAGTGCACGCGTTTAGCGGTGTACAAGTGCGGCACCATCGAACGCGCAATTCGCATGAGCGCGCAGGTGAAGGAGGCGGGCGTGAAAAAAGTACGCGTAGACACGCGACAACTACAATGGAGCGCGGCGTGTCTGCGTGCAGGAGAGAGTCCTTTCAAAGCGAATCACTCCGCCACGTCCGAACTTACTAATGAAATTCTAACGAACGTTCCCGAGCCGTGGCGTCCACTCGTAGCGGTCGTAATTAAACGTTCCTAGCAAACATCGCGTACCAGGACGACAGGCTCGTTGCGTCACTTAAAGGCTCGCCAACTAAACGCAGTTAAGGTCACACTTGCGTTTCACTATCGGTGTAATAAGGTCGCGTAATTAACGGCTCGTTTTGCAAAGTTTGTGCGAGGGAAAAAAACACCCTGGCTGAAAGTATGCTGAACGAGAAATGACGAAATCCTAAAGGCTTCTGGCAATTAAAAATGAAAAGAATTTATATATATATATATTATCAATACTGATGGGAAATACGTTTTCTATTAGGTCGTTTTGAAATTTTCCGGGATTTCAGGCCGATATTTTGACATTTTGAAAAAATATAGTTCCACTGAAATCGAACACTTTTATTGTAAATAATTTTTTCGCAAACGTATTGCAAAAGCATTGATTCCACCTAAATAGAAATCTAAATCTCTCCGCGACGATGTATCGACACGCTGGCTTTATCGAATTAATCACTAAGCTCGGTTGAAATATGAGTTCGTGATATCACGTTGTAAGTTGACGTGTTATCGTGTTCTACAAATGTTCTACTTTTCTCGAGCTTTACTACGAGTCGTGTTTTACTAAACGTGTTGTTACAGAAATTCGTGCGAGAATCGTGCCTTACCGAAGAAATCTCTGAAGAATCTCTGTGCCAGCGCTTTTTATTAACAATGTTCGCTTGCTATCTCAGTCACTACGTGTAAGTAGTGGATGTCGTGCTTCCCTATTAATGTATGTTATTTCGTTACGTGTTCCTTTTGGTGGTAAGAAATTTTTATTAAAAATGTCGAAAACGGTACTTTTTACGGTCGGACGGTCTCTTCGTTTGGACCTAACTCGAGTGGCGCCCAGTTTCGAGTCGGAGGCAAGGTGATCGTAAAACGATTTACCCGACCGTGGCTAATAACCCGCACGTTCGATCCTTGAAATCGAACATATCCAAAAGATGAAGTATTAGCGAACAATCTTTGACCGACAATCAAAAGCAGCGTTAATCTAACGAATCCACACCCTGAATCCAACAAAAGAATTCACCGTGGCATAAACAGTAACCCTGAATTCGTCCAGTTAGCGGCACTTTTCGATAAACGATTCCTATCTCGCCTCCGGTGACAGAGGCGAATCAAGTCCCCGCCCCGAAACACCAGATCCAATTACACGAATCGCCGAGTGAACATTTCACGTTGTCGTCGTTTAATCCTATCTCGAGATCCGTGATATTCCACGTAGCGGGGAAACAGTCATAGAATCTCTGGCGCGGCGATCTTCTTAAAAAGCGATGGAAGAAAAGGGGGGAACGAGCGGTGGCAGAACAAAAGGTTGGAACATCCTCGCATCGGAGCGCAATAAGCATTTTCGCTCCGGCGGCAGCCTGAAAAATTTTCAAGTGAGCGTCTGCTGGCAGACAAGAAATGGCGGCAGGCAGGTATGATTCCGCGAGATTTATTCCGTGGCTGAAGCCGGCCATTTCTCCGTGCCGTGTCGTTGCGCCGGTATTAAACATTCCAAGCATTGCGATACCTTCCAACGCCACCCGTTCCCCCTACTCTCCGCCGATATACACCCTTCAGGACGCGTATGCAGCTTTGGATCAGCACCAGAGAGACAGCCACGCGATCACCTATGCACACGTACGCGCCTACACGTTTTCTACGAGGGAGCGATCGTGTCTGTGCGAGAGAGAGTTTCTCCTCGGGGTAGTAAGAGGAACGCGGCGGGCAAAGGAGCAAAGCGAGGGGGCGAAAGCAAAGAGGATCGAAAAATATGCGAGTTCGACGAATCCAGTGAAATCTTTCGGCACAGTCTCGTTCAGCCGGGAAAACTCTATCCTGGTAAACCGAGATGCTTCGCGGAAGTACAACCCCGGCCCGGAAACGGCGCGAGCATATGCGGCCCCTAAACACGAACATCTTTACGGTTCGACGGGATTTCGGTATGTATATACGGAATTGTTAATGGTGCTTGCTGAGTTACTTTTCTATTTTCTCGTCGTTTCTCCGTCGACTCTTTTTCCCGATCGAGGGTAAGGCGAGTTTATATTTGTTTGCTTATTCATTGGGTTAATCTGATAATTCACGATAAAAATATTAAGGTATATCTAACCCTTTCGCTTTCTAACGAAGTAACGAAAAGTGGCTTAGAGTGGCTTCCAATTATTTGTATTTATTTGCAACTTATTTTGCATTCAGCTGTTGGTGCGACAGAAATTATTTATATGAGAATATGTAGGATGTACCAGTTGTTTGCGATCAAAATATATCCTACATAAGATGATCTAACATTTTAAGTAATACATTTAGTATCTCAATAGAAAATAACTATTGGAAATTATGGTAATAAATGTAAGGTACGTCGCTACGCAATTAATAAGAGATCGACAAGACGCTAAAAAAAAAACCATCAGCGTCACCCATACTAAACAGATCGTTACTGTTATTCTTCTGTATATGTTTATATTAATCTGTCTCAGTATGCTGATCACACACACACTCATTCCTCCTAATAATCCAACAAAATGATAAGAATAAAGACAATTTCTTTAGTTCATTTGACAAGTACAAAACTAACGGTACGCGAATATTTTCAAAGAAAATCGACAAACTACTTCACAACCTCGTTTACCATGCTCTCATAAAGTAACAACGTAACTTGCAAGAAAGTTCGCAAATATTCCTCCGTCTACCTATCGTCCCGCTAAATACATAATAAACCAAAGAACTTAGAGCGCAGCTCAGGCGAGCGACAAGCCGATCCATCAGTATGCGCGAAACTTAAATAAATTTTTCTCGCGCGATCGCGAAGCAAAAAAAGCTGAGGGGATCATCGCGAGACAAACGATATCCTTTTTAGCGAGAGAGAGAGCCAACGGATCGGGAATCCCACGAGTTCGTTCAATAGAAAATTCCATTCCCGTAAATTATAAAGGCAGCTTCGTCACGGCTGCCTTCCTTGTTCGGTCGCCGCCGCGCGCCGTACGGATAATAATTCCACGCACGGTCATTTTTCCGGCTGAACGAGGTCGAACTGCAAATTATTAAACGTCCTCGCTCGTTTTCCCCTCTTTAGGGACCCGCTCCCGGTTATTATCGACTAACGATATTATTCGTCGCTTCGAAGCGTGTAGCGCGGTCTTATAATTAAGGCCAACGAGATTAAGGCGACGTTCGCCTCCTCCCGTTAAATTGTCCCGGCCCGCTTCCGTTCCGGACGACCGATGAAAAATAAGGAAACGAGCACCGGATAGACGAGGATAACGGCTCTCGTCTTAAAATCTGCTCATCTGGCCTTCTCCGTGAATTTTTTCGAAATCGAACTCCCACAGGCCTTCCCTCCTCCCTTCCTCTCGCGCCGCCCCTTTCTGCCGCTTTCAGCAGCGAGGATTTACTTTCAGCTGTGCGATCGCATTGTCCAAGCCTGGAAACGCTCGGAAGCCTTTGGAAAATGGTCGGCACGCTTGAATTTCACGCGATCGATCGTGTTCCCGGCGCGGTTTATTGGAAACACGGCATCTCGAGAGCGCTATACCGGACACGATTTCTGGGATCCGTATGCTGCACTCCTTGGCGACGTGCTTGCACACTGGCTCTATCAAAAGGGAGATACTAACGTTTTGTCGCTTAATTTGTCAGATTGAAAAATTGTTAAATTGTAGGAATGGTTTTGGTAGAGATAATTCGACTGGATTGTTGTGTCAAGCGGGTGTGAGGAGATTCTTTGTGAAAAATTGAGAAGAAAATGTAGAATGGAATGAAATTTTTTCGTTTGAGGCTTAGTTTTAAAGGTGATCGAGTTTGAATATCCACTAAATGCATAGTTTGCATAGTGTGCACGAGTATAGACATGCGTTGTATTATGTGAAACTGATGAAAATATGAATATTAAGAATGCAAGCTAAAATAATACTAAGGCTAGCGGGCGATTATTCGATAGAACTATCACAGAATTACCATTTCTTCGTAACATTTATGAGAATTCATGGAACAAATGTTTCACGAATTTCTTGTTAAGTTGACCGGTAAAAAAATGAATAG